TGATCGTTTAAAATAATTATTTCATGTAGCTCTCAACCCTTTTTATGAAATAGATTACATTTTTAAAAATTCTCATACTATCATCTTATCTTCAGTTTCTGTGCAGTATGCTACTGGAGTAGAAAAGCACTTGCAGTGAAGCTGAATCTAAAGTAGAATCCACTATTTGCTGACACAGCTAATAGGAATTGACAGGGTTTTGGCAGTTATTTGTTACTTGATCAGTGGTAGGTGATGCAAAGCATACAGAAGTACCATTCTATCTGTTTCAATCTTTGTTGGTCAAATATATGTACTAGTACAAATGGTTTGTCTTCTACAGTGTAGCGTAAAGCTGTAGAATTGCTATGGTTTGTATGGAGAGAAAAATCATCTGAGCAGTAACCTAACACTTGTTTTCAGAGAAGTATCCATTACTATTGAGGCAGTCTCGTTAACATTCTGTTCAGGTCATTGCAAGTGATCCTTAATAGGCGGTGTTAACCAGAATTTAACTGGCATTATGGACAGGCAGGGGAGAGAATGACGCTTGCCATTCATACTTGTTATATTGTATAACTTAGTCATTAACTTTTTCATCTGTAGTTGTCCCTACTAATATTTAGTACTAGTAATTGCAAACTGTTGACTCCAGAAAGTGCTGTTAGTGACCCTAGTAACATTATTACCCTTGTGCATGACTTCTAGTCTGCCATTCTGCATTAAAGGTGAATAGCAGGGGTATCACTCTTGTCTGGCTGTATAGGCCAGATCAGTGGTGTGGGGCTGGTGTGTGGGCCTGATCAGGTCTGTGGACCTTGTCCTCTCTCTTTTCCCCTTCCCTCAACATACTGAATCTAGAGCCTGGATCCTGGAGCCTCTGGAACGAGTGCCATGTGTGGTACAGATCCCAGATTGGTCAGAGTGGGCATTGCACTGAATGTGGTGCCCATCTCAGCCGAACTGCACCACCCGTGTACCTGCTCAGGTCCTGGACTGGCTGGAGCTGGCACTGTGTGGTGCAGTTTCAGACCAGGTGCCACATGTGGCTTAGTCCAGCTGCAGGTATGTAGCATGGATCCCAGACCAGCTGACTTCACATGGTGTGTCTCTCCCCAGCCCCGATAGTAATATCTCCAGGGATGGTGTGGCACGTGATGTGCCTTGTGTGGGTTTGCTCAGACCCGGGGCAGCACCGAGGACTGGATGGCAGGGCTTTGCAGGGCCATATATTTGATACCCCTGGTGTATAGGTAAGGCACGAAAGGAATTTGGAGGAAAGTGACCAATTGGTAAGCAAAGTGCCATCTGTCTTGCTTTCTGGACCTTTGTGCCATGTATCTAAGCAGTGGTCTAGCCATAGAAATGACAGTCATAAGAAATCCTCTCTTATGGGACTTGGAGTTAAATACTTGTGTATTTGGAATACCAGCACCCCTGGAGAAATGTGTTTTCTCATGGCACACGTTTCTTTCATTTTGGGGCCTTCACTGCTTCTGCTTTTAAAGCAGGCACCTCCGACTGCCAGGGCATCTGGTGCTACCCGGAAAGGGGTTGGCATGCCCCGTGGGCAGTGAGGTGTCAGGCAGGGGTGTGGGGAAGACTGGCCCTGCCTGACACCGCTAGCTTTCCCCCCTTGCCCCTGCCTAATACCCCACACTGCCCATGGGGCCCATTGGCCCCTTCCTGGGTGGCCCCAGGCACCCTGCTGGCCAAAGGAGCCTGCTGAAGGCAGAACTAGCGAGGGGCCCAATTCTGCTTTCAGCAGAGCCTCCCTGCCTGCCCACCCCACAGACAGGGGTAACTCCTGAGCTGCGGGGAGGCCCGATCCTTCCCTCTGCTGCGGCAGTGGCCCTATGGGGCTGGGCTACCAGTGGGCTGTGTGCTGCCTGAGCTTCCAGGGACCCAGTCCAACTTCCCAGGAACCCTTCAGCACACTGCCTCTGCCACAAGCCTGCTGGGCTTCCAGCACCTCACATGCTGAGGTGTGGTGAACTTGCACTATGGATCTACAAAAATCCTACCTTTTTTGTGCAGAAATATGGGGTCAACTTGTACACTGTATCTATCTATAAACTGTAAAGTATGGTACTCAGAATATGGTTTTCCATTTTTTGTGTCCATGTTTCTCTAGGGGTTTTCAGTTACAAGACAAAGTTGTTAGAACATAGTATTACTACATTTTAGATCTTTAGATCACAACCAGTAGTTTTCCCTCATTAGTATTAGCACTGTCCTCCAGGGTGAAGAAGAACAAATAGTGCCTTGAAAATCCATATGCCTCTTTCAGTGCAGGTGCTAGGCAAGCAAGTTAAACGAATGTGTGTCGCTAGCATCTGCTGCACCAAGGCCCACTAGCTGCTTAATGAAAATGTTAAGTGGCTGAAACTAAACATCTGTTGTTCAGGGAGAGAAATGTGGAAGGAATCTTCACATCCTGTCTCATCTCTGTCGGGTTTCATGAGGAAACAGTGTGCCCATTTAACAGAAAAATGGGGAATAGAGGGGTAAGAGTTGTTTGAAAGCATTTAAAAACATTGACTGTACACACTAGACATGTAATTGCAGCCATCCTTTTGTATGCCCGTTTGGGTTTTTTAGGGGCCAGGGGGAAATTTGCAACATCACTATTCATGATTTACGTGTAAACTGCGCCACTGGAATTGAGAGAAATTAATAAAGAAAATGGAACATAGATTTCATAGACATTAGGGCTGGAAGGGACCTTGGAAGATCGAGTCCAGCCCCCTGCCCCAGGGGCAGGAAGTCAGATGGGTTCATACGATCCCAGCAAGATGAGCATCCAGTTTGCTCTTGAAGGTGTTCAGTGTGGGCGCTTGAACCACCTCCAGTGGCAGGCTGTTCCAGACCTTGGGGGCTCGGACAGTAAAGAAATTCTTCCTTATGTCCAGCCTGAAACGGTCTTGTAGTAGTTTATGACCATTCGACCTAGTCGTCATCCCTTGGGGTGCTCTGGTGAACTAACGTTCCCCCAGATACTGGTGGTCACCCCTGATAAACTTGTAGGTGGCCATCAGATCACCCCTGAGCCTGCGCTTTTCCAGGCTAAAGAGCCCCAGGGCTCTCAGCCTGTCATCGTAGGGTCTGCTTCCCTGACCTCTGATCATGCGCGTGGATCAAGAGGGCGCCCCTGAGGGTCACTTTTACGCCAGCGTTTTGGTCGCTTTACTAGCCGCAGCATCGCACTGCAGGCTCATGTTCATCTTGTGGTCAATGGTGACCCCCAAGTCTCTTTCTTGCATAGTGTTGGCCAACATAGCACTGCCGAGCCTATAAGGATGCTGCGGGTTTTTCTTCCCAAGGTGGAGAACCTTGCATTTATCGGCGTTGAACACCATCAGATTCTCGTCCGCCCACTTGCTGAGCCTGTCCAGGTCAGCCTGGATAACCTGCCTGTCTTCTGGTGTGGATGCTTTTCCCCAAAGTTTGGTGTCATCAGCGAGCTTGGCCAGTCCACTTCTGACCCCAGTGTCCACATCATTAATGAAGATGTTGAATAGTATGGGTCCAAGGACAGAGCCTTGGGGGTCACCACTGGTCACAGGACACCACAATGAGTGACTTCCATCAATTACTACCCTCTGGGTCCGACCCCGGAGCCAGTTTTCCAGCCAGTGGATCGTGGAGGACCCAAGGCAACAATTGGCCAGTTTCTCTAAGAGGTGATTATGGGAAACCAGGTCAACCACATATGGTGGCTCAGAGGTTTTACCATATTCTATAAAGCAGTAGAGCTTACTTATGAGATGCATCCTACTTTCCTCCTCTGTACGCAGAATGGAACCAAGAAGATATGTAGAAACAACCAGGCTTTTTGTAGCTTTGTACTTCATGCAAAGAATGTATGCGCAAGTCTAAATCTCTTCTCTTCCCTGCCCCCCCCCCTTTTTTTCCCTTCCTCTTTGTGTCCTTCATTCAGCTGTGCTACACCACAGCAGCCATGCAGGCAAATTTTAACTGTGACATCATTATTATAAATGAAAAGCAAAACACTGCATTGCTGTGGTTTTTCCCTTGCCAGAAAATAAGTAGCAGAATTAAATTGAAGTACTGGTACAGGATATTTTGTAGCTATTCATTTGCAGAATTTTACATCACAGATGGATTAGGAGAGCATGGAGGGAGGGAGGAGAGTGTATATTGTGCAGTGACAGGCCTGCCTTGATAGAGGGTCTCAGGAAAACCTTGTTGTCCATCAGCATAGTGATCCTCATTAGTGCATGCTGAAGCTATTTATTTGCTGTTAGTGTTCATGAAATGAAAGTACGATTGACAGAGCTGATGAGAGGAAGCGGCCAAACAGGGCAATTTAGCTGATGTGCCTGACTGCTGTGTGAAATGTGTGACATGCTTGGCTGGTGATAGCAGCATATACAGATCACTCAAAACTGACTGGTGAGGAGCAAGCATGTGAATCTAAATCAATGTTGTTTTCCCTCCACTGAAATTCAAATTGACATATTCTAAGAGTCTAATGTGACAGTCTGTTATCTAGAATTTAGTTTTGAATTTTAGTCCTCCAGTAAAATGTTGTTATGGCTTGTAATCTGGGGCCCAGCATTGAGTTTAACACAGCTTTTTTGTTGTGATCTGACCCCCAGGCATTTCAGGCATTTGTAGTGAGGTGACCTGTGCAGAAAATTCAGGTGCATTAAACTGAGCCCTGCCATACATCTGAAGATGTGCCCGTTGGGAGCAAATTTGCTTGATGCTTACCTGTGCATTAGATTAGTGTAATGCGCAGTAAAGTTTCTCGCATAGATGCACTTGCATAGATTTAGCTGTTTGTGCATGGTCAAAAAGCAGTCTATTTAGCTTTTTGTTAGTAGGCCTGTCTGTTGTCTTCGTTTTTATATATTTCAATCAAAATAGTGGAGCACAAGTTCTTAAATAAGAGAGGAAAACCTAGTTCCTAAGCTTTCTCCTGATAGCAAAAGTCATTTCCCCCCAAAACAGTTTCTTGTGGAGGCTGTATATTTTACTGCACTCTTATTCCGCAGGAGGATGATGACACTGTACCTTCTGCTCCTGAGCCTCCAAGTCTGCTTTTGCATGAGCGTGGAACAAGTTTTTGTTTTGATTCCAGGTGAGTTTATACCTACCTCTTCATTGTGCTGTTGTGCAGTGGAACAGACAATTTTATATTCCTGGGCTTATCCACTCAAAGGAATGCTGCTAAGTTGCCCAGAATTTTCTGGCAGCATTTGTGTTATGATTATTTATCAGGGAATTACTTATTAGGAAGGCTGTTACCATTCTGGCTCATTTCACTGAATGTGGCAATATTATGGGAACATGAATGAAAAACTGCTTTTTTATTTCTTTTCTTTCCAACCTAATTGTGACCCTGAGTTTACAGCTTTTAAAAAGTGTTGTGTTTGCTAAGAGCAAACATTTATGAGTAGGGGAAGTGGTTTTCCATGAAACTGCTTGGCCATTAAGACGTTCAGTAGCTTTGTATTCCAGATTTGTAACTGGAATTATGTCAAAATGATTCAAGTTTTCTGATGCTGGATGATTTTGAAATGTCAGTGTAGAGCTATTTTAATATACTGAACATTTTGCTAATGACGACAGGTTTAATCAGTGGCAAGTTACCTGGACTTTTAAGGCCTGACCCAACTCCCATATAAATCAATGGCAAACACCCCATTGACTTCAGTGGCAGTGGTATCAGATCTTTTATTTTTGCTTCTGTCAGTTATATTAATGGTTAATTTTCTTCCTTTCCCCGTCCTCCCAAGTTTTGATCTGCACAAGAAGTGTCCACTCTGTGATGTGATGTTTCCACCTAACTATGATCAGAGCAAGTTTGAACAACATGTTGAAAGTCACTGGAAAGTGTGCCCCATGTGCAGTGAGCAGTTTCCTCCGGACTACAATCAGCAAGGCTTTGAGAGGCACGTGCAAACTCACTTTGATTCAAATGTGTTAAATTTTGATTAGAGGAGGCATTTGCGTTTTTCTTTTCTCAACTTAATTGCAAAAAAGACCTAGGGTGGGCAGTCCATGTATAGAACAGGAACATACAGCTTTCATATAACTTAATGCAGATTTCTGCTTAAGTGCTAGTAATGCTCTACTGTGTAATTGGATCCCAGGCATATCTTTGGCTATCAACTGTTACTGGTTTAGACTCTCAATGTAACATTTTAGAAGGAGAAAAAGCCTTTTATGTATCTGTATTTATTCCTGTTCAGTGAAATTTGTAAGGACACAGGGATAACTTGGTTGTGATTTATCCATAGAAAAAGTAGACCCAATTTCTTGATGCTGTACTATTTTACAGGATGAACAGAGGTATCTCTTGACCATGGTAATTGGAGCATGATTAAACATTAAAACATAGAGTATGTAATAAACAGATGTTTCGCATAGTAATCTTGTGTACTATTTCTTTGGATATAGTTAATGCATAAAGTTATGTAATTTACCTAATGGAAATATAGTTTTCTAATCCATTTCTGAAATGTAGTTGCATGTCTTATGAGATTTACATGCTTGTAACAAAAAATAAATGGCAAATACTTTACTTTTACATATAAAAATATTTGTTTTAGGGGATAACCTTCAACTAAGTAATGTTATACTGTAAGACAGTATTTTTATTAATTGAAATAAATTGCTGTGCTTAGATTACTTAGAAATAATTATATAAAAATCACCACCAATCAGTTGCACTTGCATTCAGTAAAAAAACCAAGTGTTCTTTTTGGATTGGGTTCTTACTACTTCTCCATTTTAATTGTGCACATAATTTTATAGTAAGTACCAGCAGCACGTATATCCAAACACTTCAGTGAATTACTTAACAATGTATTATCTAAAGCAAGAAAGTATTTTTTTTTTTTTTTTTTTGGATAAGAAGTTGCTTTCTACCTGTTGTACAGTAGTCTTGTTGCATTAAAAATGAAGTTGTTCCTGAAGTCTGGTTTCCCCCCTGTTGTTTTATCATTAACTCAGGAAAACATGTGACTTGATTTTTAAAATTTTCTTGGTGTGAAAGATGACTTTACCGTTTGTCAAACACAAATGGTTGCTTATCGCCTTATCTTTTTGTGTGCATGAGATGCCTGAGGTATTAAGGTACTGAGTAATTTTGTCTGCATTTCTTTTTTTATTTACATAGATAATACAGTTTTTCAAGGGTGACCAGCAACCACCATGTTATATAAATAAAATAACCTTGGTTTAAATTTTAGGGCAACAGAATTTTAGGACCTAAAATTGACACGCAGGACCAATGTGGTGGTTGCATACTCAGCCAAAGATTGCCCTAAAATTCGAACTAAGGTTTTATTTATTTATGTATATGTTGTCAATCATGTGCTGTATCTATCTATAGAGAGAGTGTACATGGTTGACAACATTCAACTATTTTTAGTGCATGTTCAGTAGTATTTTGTTTGGTTTATCTTTCATTCTTATTAGTATATAAAACATATGCACAGAATATGTTTGAAAAAATAAAGACTTAAGAAGTCCCACTATGATGGCTGTAGAGGGCACCAAAGACAGAAAACAACCTCTAAACCAGTTTGTTTGGAAGCACAAGTGGATACTTGTTTTGCCAGAGTATTCTAGGAAGATTTACAGAGTAAATTCCCTAGAGCGTGGGTGACAGTGGTTTGTATGTATTTATAAATATAAAACATATACGTGGTGCTCAGCTGGGCATCAAAACCACTGGAGTATTTAGGAGTTTAAAATGTTTTTCAATGACCCTTCTGTCCCTGAAGAAAAGAGGAACATCCAAGGCCACTAAATATTGGCTAAATTGGATCAAAGGAGAATATGAAGGGATGAGTTTTAGCTGATGAATCTTGAATCTCATGTGGTGTATGAACAGAATGGACACCATCACAGCCTCAAAGAATATTTTATATAAAGAAAGGAGGTTGGCCCCAGGGGGACACATACTGCTGGGTACAACTAAGATGCCACATATTGTGGTGTTGATTTTTGCTAAGAACATCTTGTTTCATTCTACCTAATTGATACTTAAATGGGTTGTTGAATGCTCTGCTGCTTTTACCAAAACAGGGAATTGAATAATGCATAAAAATAGCATTAGTGTATGTAAACCAAACTGATCACTCTTAAAACCAAAGACAAGTCATATTTGTTTTTCAGTCAGAGGCAGTTTATTTTAAATGTGATTTGATTTACATTTATAAGCAGCTTTCTTGACAGGAATTCATTAAATTGCCTTCAGTTCTAAAACAAACCTCTGTCACTTTCGAACTTAATGTACTTTGTCCCCAACAAAACATATGAAAATATAATTTAAAGCACACTTTTCACAGACACAGTACAATACATTCACTATACACAGTATAACAAAATAGTCCCATCTTTACCTGTTTAATAATACTGTCACAATGAATAGGTAAATAGAAACTGGAATTTCATTTTGATAGTTGAAAGGAATTTACATGCAACAATGACATTTTATGACTGTTTAGCTGTTAAACTTGCTTATCCAACCTGTAGTTTCTTGCAGTAGGAGCTGAGACAATACTTGCTCTCCAGACTTATTGCCAAAGCTATAGAAGAAATGGCCAAATGGGGCTTTTATGTACCAACCAATTGATTCTTATGTCTGCATCATCCTTTATACCTAATTGAAATCATTGTATTGTACAACCACTGTTGTCTGTTCAAGATTGAAATGGATGGAATATATGTAAAAGGGGAAAGCGTTTACACTTTCAGAACCCCTAAGTGAGGATTCAGCAGTTCTAAAAGGAAGTTCATGCATCTAGTTCAAAACATGTTGAAGGCCAGCAATCATCTTTTGTTTTTAAATGGAGAGGCTGTTTCCCATTTGTCTGAAAATCCACACCAGGTTAAGGAAGAAGAGAAATGCATTTTAAATACATATTTTTTTCATGGGAAATAAGCCTCAATTTGGGTGGGAAGGGGTTGCATAAATAGGCTACTGGTAAGCTAAATTGGTAAGCTGAGAGCAAGCACTTGTGAGAGAATGCTCAAAGCAGGATGATAAGGTAAGCAATAAATATTCAGTTATGGTCCAGACACTAAGTTATTTTGTGATGGCTCGTTTTAAGTCGGTCTTTGTCCACCTCCTGCAAGAAGCATTTCATTGTCATAAAGGCTCATATGTTAATTTTCAGCAAAGCGATTTGTAAAGCTAAACAGACATTTCCAATCAGAATGCAGTGACCTACAATAAGAGGCAAAAATATACAAAAAAAAATCTTAAAATACAATGAACATGAAGGAGGTTCAATAGAAATTCCCTTAACGCAAATCATGTACCTCCTTAAAACATGCTTAGGTTTTTAAAAAAAAATTATTTGCAACCACAGGCACATGCTAGTACAGTAGTTGCAAGAATTGGCAACACACAAAACATAAAATCTGTTGGCAATAGAGAACTACAAAGTGCTTTAAAACTTCATCTGAGATGAAGATATAATTTTCTCTCACACAAATTTGCACTTAAGTATTTCCAAGTGTCTTTCTAACAGCATAATTCAGGGGAAAATATTTAGTTGGACTTGGAATCTTGGTCCTCAAAAGTCTGATGGGCATGAACTTAATATGACATCTTGTACAAAAAAAAAAGGAAAAGTAGTAGTAATTCCTAACACTAAAGTGATTGTTTACTAGTTCAAATGGCAAGATTTTTCAGCATTACAAGAGGGAAAAAAATTGCAAGATAATATAAAATACAACAAGCACACCTTTTATGTATGTTATTTAAGTATGAAAATATTTTTAGCATATTATGTTAAACATTCTTTCTTATTTATATTTCCAATACCTAAAGACTTGCTACCCCACTGATAACTTCATTACATAAGGCATGTTAACCAGGTTGACAATGTTGGTATTGTTTTGGTTTTGTACATACATTAACTGATGTGTTTGAAAGTCTTCAATCACATTACAATCTTGAAATGATGTCAGTGCCAAGCTTCCCTCCCCATACTCATATTTAACACTGCAGTACAACTAAATATGCAACACCCCCTATTTTTTTTAATATTTTTTTTGGGAGAAAAATGTTCTGAAGAATCTATAGCTTTTTAGCACCTTATCTCAAAGTAATGAAAATGGGTATGATGATTACATGTGCAAATGTACAAAATCATTAACTCTACAAAGATACATCATTCCAAAATTACAGAAAAATTTAAAGCATGCATTAAATTTTTTAAAGGGTTGCTGAATGCTTCCCCTGAAAAAGGTGGCTGTTTTCAAAATCAGCAACTGCTGGTGAGGATTTCTTGGCACATTTGTGACCAGCATGTTATTGCTGCATCTTCCTGATAATCTCAGCAGACACTGGGGGATGGAAATTGATTGTGTGGTGCCGCAGGCCCTGAGCTGTCTTGTAACTCTTTCCACAACGACATTTGAATGGTTTGCGTACACGGATCTGTGTTCTGTGGCCATTCTTGGCATGGTACTTTATACCGTTCACATTCTGAGAGAGAGAGTGAAATATTAGTTGTCAAATGGTCTAACAATGTTTTTGGCTTCCTGTTATAAAATAGAAATTGACTATTAAATTATATGGGACAAAATTGAACAACTATTAGGAACCATCTTAGGTGTTCACTTCAGTGCAAGTACTTCTCTTATTCATTCAAGATGTGACTAAAGGCCGAGTCCTAGGAATAATTTTGTCTTATATACACAACAGCAGGTATATACACATACAATTTTGTTCTATATACACAACATCATAACCTTGGTAACTCTGTTTTCTATCATTTAAATGTTGACATTTTCCAACATACTATACAGTAGTATCAGAAATAATATTCTACGTTTCCTGACAGTTTCACAGTGGTGGTTTTTTTTTCAGTGCTTCTGAAAATACTCTTAGATGCAACTCTCACATTAGCAAAACAAGGGCAGTAGGCTGACCAGGAAGTGGCACTTGAGTATCCAACAACCTTCTTTCAGAAGGTTTAGGGTAGTTGTCAGTGTTATAGGGCAATATCTAGAGAATTGGCTATACAAGTAACAGTCACTTTCATGGAGAACTTTATAAACAGACAAAAGCTCCTATCATTCCCCAATATCCATTTAAAGATGCAAATAGTAGAAGAATAACCATGGTATCTAGACACATAGAGCAGGAGAGTGGTTTTCCATCACTGCAACTCAAACTGCATCTTCTCTGAATTTCTAGATTTCAAGGGTCTCCAACACTTCTTGTTTACAATAACATACATGTCAAGTAAGGGCACAGCTAGTAAGACAGGAATATCGTCAGAGATTCCAGAACACTACTGAACATTGCTTTTTACTATATTGAACAAAGCAAGACGGGCTTTTCTTTGGTATACCTGAGCCTACTAGCACAAAAAACATGAGCTTAGTGCATGAAAACTAGGATCATTCAGTCCTCTGATCAAGAGCTGGTGGGCAACTTGCTAGTAACACCCTTTAATAAAGCAGAATTATAGTGGCCTGGTAGTATTTTGTTCCCCTTACACAATAGCGTCATGCTGGCAAAACTGCGGTTCCCAAGCCTTATATGGCTCGCTGACACGGTACTCTTTGGGCTTCTCTGCCAAAGCCATGGCCACTTCTCCCTGAAGGGGCTTGGGGGCTGCCAGGGGTGGGGGCTGCAGCCACGCTGCTTTCTCCAGAGAGTGCTCCCTGTGGGGAAAGCTGGAGCGGGTTGACAGTGCAGGGGGTGGTGGTGACCTCCAATCCAGGTGGCTTAGTGCTCCATCCCCCACTCCACTCTCTGGCTTCAGTGGAGGATCGGCTGTGGCTCCCAGGGTGAGTAACTCTAGCTACCCTGCAATAGAGGGCAAGCTGGGCTTCTATGGATGAAAAGCTCACCTTCAGTTAGATGACGGTAGAAACTGGTGAAGCTCAGAAAGAGCTGAGCAATTCGTCTAGCCAGAAATAAGTGCTTCCCTTCATTTAGTATCCTTTGCTGTGAACCCTCACCTGCAGTTAGGCACTTAATTTTGGTTGCCTCAAAACTCTTGGGGTTAAAGCACTCGTTGCTGCAAAGGCAGATGAGCATTCAAACCCCTACTCCAAATCAGGCAAAGCAGAAATATATTCTTGAATCTGGTATCCCAGCTGAGTATCAAACTATTAAGTTCTGAGGTGCACTGGGGTGAACAATCTCTCCTCTTGAAGCTACTTAAAGTTGTATAAATAAATATTCAGTAGGCCAGGTCAAATAAAAGAAAAAAGACCAACTGCACAGAGCAGTAGTCCTAGTATTTATATAGGATGGGGGAAGCAGAAGCTCAAGTATCTTTTGCAGTCACTACTTTCACAAATTGCAACAGCTCCTACAGGAGAGAGCTGAGCCTTCTCCCGAGCTGTGGAAGACCCAGGTTCAAATCTCTGCTCTGCTTGATCTAAAGCAGGAGTCAGCTCTAGGCCTTATAGGAATGTTTGCCCAGGTGTGGGCAAAACAGTGGATCCAGTGGGCAGCTGGACTCCATTTCCCAGCCCATGTTGCTGTGGCCAGTTTCCATTGAAACCCCAGTAGTAGCAGTGCAGGGCCCAGCAGCACTGGCAGGGCATGCGGTTGGGCAGGGAGCTGCTCTGGAGTGGGGGCTGGGGTCTTGCAGTGGTGACAGTGTGGTTCGGAGCTGGGGCAGAGCCATCATCCGCTGCTTGCACCCCCCCCGTCCAAGGAGTGTGGGGAGCGGGTCACAGCTCTGCCCTGGCTCCAGACCCACTAGTCTCCATGGAAACGCTGGCCCTGTGCTGTCACTGCCACCCCTACTGGGGTCTCTGTGGAAACCGACCGCACCAACACAGGCAAGAGCTGCTGGGAAATGGAGTCCACCATGGGCTTGATCCGGCCAGTGGGCCAGGCTTTTTCCACCCCTGCTCTAGCCAGTAGGTTACTGGCTTCTGAGGAGAAGGACAAGTACATGACTCCTGTGCAGGTAACTTCTGCTTTAGGTGTGCTCAAAATGTACTGCAGGATTGAGCCAGGCTTGTAAAACAGACATGGGGGTATCTAAGCCTTCAGGTTAAGCTAGGGCGCTGAATAGCATCAGTACTTAAATGGCTTTCCACATCAGTGGAAACTTATGTGCCTACAGTATTCAGCAGTAGTCAAAAAATGATTTTAAGGATGTCAGTGGGCACGCCTATGCAAGACATTTACTGTGGAGCTGCCTAATTAGCTCTGCAGTAAAGTCTCTCTACATGCGTTGCCCTATTAGGCTGCAGTAAACTAATGCTGCCATAGGTTATTACTTGTAAATACAAGTACTATTCTGATGTGGCATTATTTACTGCACAGCAATGCATGTGTAGACACTGATGGAGCTGGTGGGGGCATGAAGGTGCTTCAGTGTGGGGGCTGCCTGCCAGCTAGCCCCACACTGATGCACCCTTATGCATCAGCCAGCCCCTCCACAGCATGTTTAATGGGGTTGGAGCAGCCCTGGACTGGCAGGCTGTCCCCCCGGACTCCCTGCCAGCTAGGACTGCTCCAACCCAGCTCAATGTGTTGCGGTCCTGGGCACACATGTAAACACAACACCCAAAAGCAATAAACTCCAGCACTATATGTGTCAGAGTTTATTGCACCACATTAATTTCATGTGTAGATGTGCCCAGTGATGCCTAAATTGTGGATTTAGGTGCCACAGAAAAAGTCAGAACAGATTTTAGCTACTGCAGGAAAGTAATCAAAGTAAAAACAAACAAAGCAGCCAGCCACAACTTAAACTCATTTTGGAAACTATAGTAAAGTCCAGAATAATATGGAAAAAGGCCTTTCCCTTTTTTAAATCAAGAAAATCTTTGATAATTATGTATACTAAATAGCAAAGTGTTTGGGTAAGGGTGGTATGGGGTTTAGTAAAATCTACAGATCATAAATACCTTCAGTTGGCGTGGCAACATGATCATTTACTGAAACTTGTTTTTATTTGCTTGACTGTTTGTTATTGGCTTCTTTAATGATGTAATTTGAAACACCATGAGTACATACACATTTGGTAAAAGAAAAGAAAGCAGAATAACCCACTCCAGGCAGATAAGTGCTAGGAAATTCCATCTTGAACTGAGCTATAGGGCTAACTGGGTTATAGAAGGTTTAAAATATAGTAAAAAGCTCAGATTTTGAGAAACCAGTGTAACGTGAAACTTGATCTCCATCTCAGCCTAAAAGAAAACTGTTGTTAGAATTACAGTCAGCTCTTCAGCAGTTTTTCCATTGCACTAATGTAAACACTTTGTTGTGTGTCTGGGTTAAGTTTGTTGAGGTATGGAGGAAAACATTGCTAAATCCATATATCACTTTTACTGCTCTGGAAACTTGGGTTGCTGATTATATACTCTCGCACATAGCTGAGAAAGAAGGCAACCGTGTAGAGAGACATGTAGGAATCTTAGATTGGCTGAAAGAACAATCGAACTGGGACCAGAACAGGAAATATGAGCGATTCTACACATCACTGGTGGTTTGTGTGAGTGCAGGGTCACTTTACACAGTAACACTGGTGAGGCTAAGGCATTAAAATTGCTACAAGGTAAAAGTAATTCAATAGTTGTGTAGAAACATAAAGATATTTGAGTTTGCTTTTTATTGTTTGGATATTTCAGGATGTTCTCCTTATGCAAATAGTGAAATTTTTAAAAGTTACTTCTACTTGTCAGAAAACTGATTTACTACTTTAGAAAACTGATTTGCTGAGATGCCATGTTTAACAGGGACAAGACTAGATAATTCAGGATATCTCCAAGTATATAAGCCTGGGCTGAGCTTGCTTCTACAGCAACATGCTAAGGCTTCCTTGTAAGCCCGAGGAGGCACAGGCCTGATTCCTCCTCTCTATCCACAGCACTGGACTTGTTCTTCCTTCCATGTCTTTCCCCTCCAGTCACTGTTTAGTGTTTCTTGCCATCTAACCTTTCCCATACTCCTTTGTTCAGAAAACAGAGTCTGTTAATGCCCCTGTCTGGACTACTCCATGGCACACCCTCTTTGTTGCCCTCAGGAAGGCCTAGGGCCATTCTTTAATCGCCTCCCATCAGCTCTGGGCTAGCAGGTTGGCCAAGCCCCACTTTATGTTCTTTGAAAGTGCCTCAATCTTTCTCAAGCTAATCAGGCAGCCGCCATCAGTTTCAAGAGAAGGTCATTGCCTTTCCCAACTTCAGGGAGTTCTGGCCAGCAGATGTGCTACTGAGCCTCACCTTTTATAGGCAAGGTCTACAGAAAGCATGCCCCCTACCAGGTACTCTCTTTGCAGTACGTAATTTTTACAACATAGGTAGGGATTACTCAAGAGCAAGAGAACTCTGCTTACTAGGAAGGGGTTTCTTATCTAGAGATTAGGGGTGTGCAAAACGGGCTGTATTCGATTTGGATTCGGATTCAGCCTGAATCAGGGACAGTGATTTGGATCACTGTCCCTGATTTGATTCACCGGATCCGAAGAAGCAATGCTGATTTGGAGAATCAGCAATTCGGCCATAGACACAGCTTTAAATGTTTTTCCTACATACCTCAAGGTACCAGGCATGGCTCATGAACGCTGTGATGGTGGGGCGGATGGAGCATCCCACAGGAGTGCGGGGAGCGGGGCCCCCGCATGCTCAGCAGTGAACCCAGAAGTGGACCAGTCCACTTCCGGGTCTACCACCAAGCGTGCAGGGGGGCCCCCCCTCCACCCCCCAGCTCAGTGATTTGCTGTGGGGGGGACCCAGGTGCCCCCCTGAGACCCAGGAGGCATCGGGGGGCGGGGAGCGCAGGGAGGCCACATGCGCACTCCCCGGCAGAGCTGGAAGTGGACCAGAACTGCTTCTGGTTCACTTCCAGGTCTGCTGCCAAACGCGCTGGGACCCCCCGCCCCCATGCTCCCATGGGACACTCCATCCACCCCAGCATCTCAGCATTCATGAGCCACCTGGTACCTAGAGGTATGTAGAAAAAACATTTAAAGCTGTGTCTATGTCTGAATCGTCGAATCTTTCTGAATCTCTCCAAATCAAATCAGCGACTGAAGCTTCGCATAGCCCTATTACAGATGGTCCCAAACAAATTCAATTACAGATTCCATTGGCACAGGGGACATAGCTAGACTATGGGTTTGATCTCGATCTGTCGTGGCCAGTCCACATCTCACCTCTGTGGCCCCTTGTTTCCCCTCAGTCTCATGCTACATGAGGTCTCTGTGACCTTCAAGGCCTCCCATTCCACACAGCCACATCCTAACCACCCTGCTGCTCCAACCACCCTTATTCTCTTTGCCCAAGGCCCCACATCACCCTTTGCACTGTGCTGACTTCCACTGCAAACTCATGCTGCTTTCTCTACCCTGATAGTCCCTGCAGCCACTACAGTCACCATCCTGTCCTAAGCCCATTTACTGCAGGCTCATAACCCTTTACTTCCCTTCTCATGTTCACTTCTGCTTCCCGCTTACTGCTGTTCATTAATACACATAACTTTTATGCTCTATGAAAAAAAATGTATAAAATTGAAACTTTCACTATAAGAAATAAGAAAATGTATCTAATAGTGTTGGGGTGCTGCTGTAGCCATGTTGGTCCAGGAAATATGTCAGAGGCAAGGATTTTTGTGGATGATACCTTTTTTTGGCCTAACTGCATGGAAAAATTGGCAGTCTGTTTTTCATCTTTGTTGAGCCTGGTTTTTCCTCAGACGTGAAAAAGAATGCAGTGCATTCAAAAGCTTGTCTAAGGGCCTTGTTATATGTTAATTTTAAGTGGCTCCTGGAGGTCTTAACACCTGGATTGTCCACACATTATCACCTGAAACTAGTTTTAAGCACTCTAGGCAACTTAAAAGTTACACCACTCCAGCCTTGGTTCATCTCTGATAGTGTTACTGACCTCATGTTACACTAACATGTAGCCACTCTAGGCTACACATTAGTGTAAACACCCCCACTCACCCATCTACCGCCACTGACCTGGATTGGGCCCACTGCCTCTACCCCACCCTCCCCAGATCCCCACTCACTGTCCCCCTGTCCATTTGTGGCTGCCCATGCTGTCTGTCCCAGGGAAAACAGGCATGGAAGGGCTAACCTGCCTACCTGGTTGCAACCACCGCAGCTGCTGTTCTCTTCCCTGCCTGCTTCCCTGAGACAGAGGGCATGGGCAGCCACAAGGTTGGGGAAGGATGGGAGCTGGAGAGCAGAGGGAACCCCAGGGGCAAGGTGGGAACCCCGGGGGGAGAGGGGGAGCCTGAAATGGGAGGCAGAGAGGAGAATGCTTATTCTTTAGTCCTCCAGGCCCCTGCTGGCCTGAAAGTGTGACTTCTTCAAACTCGAGCTAGCACTAACACCTATCAACATTTGAGCAGTTCATGTGTAACAAGGCCCTAAGCCAATAAAAGATATCAACTACAAAAACTCTTGCCTCTTGAAATGTATTTGAGCAACTTTAGTCATGAATAGGTCCCCAAAACTAATTTAAGGCAATGATTAAAATTTAGACCAACCCTCAATATGCAGGCCTTTCTGTTGAAATAAAACATGTACATTCATGGGTTCCTAACAATACGCAGCAAATTCCCACTCTGGAATGATATCATCATGTCATATGTACACTGGTAAAACTCTGGTATTTGTAGGGAGACAAATGAGAGATTGTTGAAAAGAACTCAGTGTGTGCATTGAGAGGTTGTATGTTGGAAGTGGAAGGAGTATGTTGTGCTGGTAAGTCAGTGCATCTGCTTTACTATGACATTTGAATGGTAAAAAATTGAGGTTGGCCTGGACACGGATGTTCCTTTAACTGTTGAGTTACTGGATTTTTAGGGATTGTGTTACCAGGCAACACATAAGGAACTTTAAGTGTCAGTTCTATGTTGTCATTATGTAGACTGTGAATCAAAGAACATGAGACAGACGCATAGTTTTAGAACAATAGAATTTATCTATTACTATATAAAATATAGTTGAAATGTTTAATTTGTTTTTTAACAATTTTCCATATAGGTTCCTCTGTATAAAATATATTGTTACAATTTCCTTATCCAGAGGTAGCCACCATGTTACTGGAACATCAGTGTCTGAATTTAGATGGCTGCTAACAATCTAATGAAAAATGTCAAATACATATAAATTCAGAAATTTCATCTATAGCGCACCAAAAATCTCTGCTGCATGTTCTCTGGCCCCTAGTACATATAACTAAAAATAATACTAATAATGGAGATGGATTTTAAATAGAAAATTATATCCAGAGTATCTAGCAATCAGTGTTCTTTTAAATATCTTAGCCATTTTAGAAATTACACTAACAACAGGCTTAAAATCCTGTTAATAAATGTAGGCTTCTATTTTAGAAAGGCTTTTGGATATTGTACTAAAAAAAAAAAAAAAGGTTATGCCAGAGAATAGAAATTAGAGGCTTCAATAATACTTCAGTGTATTGGTAGACAATTTTACATCTTAAAAAAAAAAGAAAAACTGCAAAATGTTTTGCAGCAACATGTTTATGATTCACTTCTACTGGGGTGAGTTTAGGAAACTGCCAACTGATAACAACTAGTCTGAACTATATAATCTTTGGTAACAGGGAAAATTGGGCATTACTTTTGGGGAGAGAAATATATATTGGGGATGTTTTAAGTGTGATTGAACAGAAGGACTTGATAGTTATCTGGCCTGTGTAAAGATGTTTTCTTACTAGAGCTTCCATCACCTTCTCTACCAACTTCTGAGTATTTGTTACGCCTATTTTTGCACCTCTTCTATTTCATTGCTTAATGACATTAATTACCCTATTGCAGACACTGCACCAGAGTCCTGTACGATGCCAAGCCAAAGGGAGCCTTTTCCCTGACTGGGTCCTGAGCATAACAAATAAAACTACTGCAATAATAATACTGCAGCAAATAATGTATTTTTATAAAACAAAGCTCACATAAATGCTGGGCAAAAGAAAGGCACTGTCTTCCCTACCCCCTTCAGCTGTTATGTGGCCCTGGTAAGTACTGTATGTGCATTCAGTGTTCTTGTTTGTAGCTACTACTGTTTTACAGCCCTCTGTGTGATTACCCAGAGCCTCCAAAAAATCCCAGCGCGTACTCCTTTGACCACAGGCTACCGCAGCAGGCTCAACAAATAATTCTTCTGAGTGGGAGTTAAACAGAGGAAGGAAGATGAAGGCAAAACTCAGGGAAGGAAACAAAGATAAAACATACATACACATTAGACCAAGAGGAGAAAGGAAGAAACAGAAGTGACTAAGGGGAGAGATGAGGTGAGACAGAAATGCCTTTATGCATCTGAACTACACAAGAAGTGAGTATTATTTTTCACAAAATACGGTACTACTTATTTGCTGCTTTCTCTATTTGTCAGCCTCTCTATGGGTCATTAATTTGTTCCCTGTCTGCCTGTTCTAACATTAATCGTGTGCAAGACATCCTTTAGACAGTCTTCATGCATTTGAGATGAAGGTAGCAAGATAGCAGAAGCAGACAGGAACAGCTTGCTTATTTGGGCAATAAAAAGACAGAGGGGCTGGCAGTCAAACAGAGAACAGACAGGATATAGCAAATTACAGGGTTCTCCTCCTAGCTTTTTCCATTAAATAAACATTTTCCTCAATGCATGGATGCCCTCTGGGAAAAGTGACTCCTAACAATCACTATGGCTTGTTTGCTTCCTGAGCTAAACATTGAGCTTTTATTCCTCACCCTTCCTCTTTATCTCAATCCTTCCTTAACAAAAACAGATTAATCTTGCATAATACAAACATGTCTGCTTGATCACACTTGAATACGCCAAAATATGTTTCCCTCCCTAGATGATTTGCTTTCCCTGTAACCAAAAATTATATAGTTCAGACTAATCTCCACAAACTAGACTTGTGCATTTAACTGGGAAATACACACACTAGTTTTTTACTTCTGTTTTGTAGCTAGTACTTCCACTAGTGTCTAATCCTTGCATAGCTTAGTATTCAACTTGTGCTATGGCTTTTCTGGCAGTTCAGAACAACTGAGGAATCAGATGCACATTTTCAGGCACCACGCATGTTTATGCACACTAGTTTTGCTATCATCAGGATTTATATGCTTCAGAAGATTTCTGATCTCCCTTCATGTCTTTCATCTTTCAGCCTTTTGTTCCTTTAAAAGATCTTATTCAACAGTTCTTAAAGAAATGAACTGTAGACGGGGGATCCTTTCGGCCTGTCAGATTTTAAAAGATTCTCCAGTTCTTCAAAGAAATGTTTGAAAAGCAGCTGACGTAGAGAATCCTGCCCACATCCCATTTTCACTTCGTAGCATCAGTCGTATTACTAAGGGACTTTGCCTAAAATGAAAATGTCAAAATTCATCAGCTGCTGCAATAATTAGTGTGCAATGATATTCCTTTGTGTGTGATGTCAGAGAAATCTCCATATATGCCAAATGATGTTGCAAAAAGAGGTTAGGGCTTCAAGAGATTTTACTTCTGCAAATATATATACATATCCTTTGTGATATAAGGAGAGGGAAGAAAAGGAGGAAGAAGTAGTTTCTTGGAGCATGTGCTATGCAAATCTTGCAGTCAGTTCCTGTGGACAGACTGCTAGATAGACAAGTCATTGGGGGTCTGCATTGAGTTTTGTAAATGCACGTTAATTTATAGAACCAGAGCCTGAATGTATTATACACAGACGTTTCTATGATGTAATAGCTTAGCATTGCAAGAGGAGGTCTTTATCTTCTCAGAAGTTAAATAGGATCTTCTGCATATCACCTGTAGTAGTAAATACATCACTGGCAAGCTTTCAGTTTAGTTAAAAAAATCTATAATAGTTCTTCTACAGAAGAGATCCATTCTAGCATTGGTATAAATAAGTTTTATATGGAATATGTGCAATTCCATTTTACAGATGATTCTTTTGGTATCATCTTGCAAGTTTTACAATAATTACTATGAATACGTAGTACTAAGATATATAAAATCAACAGTTTTGAATTGTATTTAGAACCTCTCTCGATTTAACTGATAAAGACCAAAATATGTATTGGTTTTGCAGCTAATATGAAACAATGCTGAAATGTTGTAAAAATTAATATGAAAAAATCTCAAAGGATACAATATGCTCTAACAGGTTCTATCCTCTGACGTACCAAAAAGAATCAAGTCAACGCTCACCTTATATCTTTTTTTACATCCAGGAACAGGGCAGGCAAAAGGCTTCTCATCCCCTCCATTCATACACATTGAACTAAGGATAGCTTCAGAGCTGATGGCGCTTTCTGTAGTCCATGATTCGTCACTGTCTGATTCTTCATAGTCTACTTCTTCCTCATCATATTCACTACCTAAATAGGTTGGTGAGATAAAGCAAGACTAAGGTAAAGTCACTGCAAAGCAATTCATATTTATTACATGGTTCCCAGTGACTTACAACTTTCTTTTCTGCATTGCTAGAAGACAGGTATTTTTAATTCCATAAAGCTGTCCTTTATTAATATAGCACCTTCAGTGGCTAAAAAAGACACTAGTGATGTCTTCATAAACAATTAGCTGCAGGGGTCTAAAAGGTCTAACTATGAATTGGTTAAAAACAAAATTTCACTACTTCACAAAGAGAAAGATCCCTCCCCTGTCCCTCCAAAGTCAACCTGGAAAACTTGCATTTTTCTCTGATGTAAAGCTGATTTTTAAGAGCTTTCCTTGATGCAATACAATTCTGAAGAGCGTAATTCTACAGATCATAAACAGTGTAAAATAATATGTTGACAAGTCCTAATGCATTTACTAGCCCATTGGAATTAATAGGAATTATAGCACAACATTAATAAGAATTATATTGTAGCCATTATAGTTGTGAAATTCATTCCCTCAGGTGTGGGAATAAATTGCATTGTGTGGCTGCCCTGACCAGACCAGACCAGACCAGACCAGACCACCAGACATTCCAGATAGGCGACCACGGCTGTTTGAGCAGCTGGTGCCGAGTTTATTTATTTTGTTAAGATTCCAGTAACTATTAATAAAATTTGGTGAAGAAGTTAAATGCGAAACAAGAGAAATTGGGAAGGCAGGATTTCAGCTATAAAAAGTAAGTACAATAATAAAGGGAAAGCCCTGGCTGATAAAGGCAGTAAATAAAAATAGAAAGAGAGAGGGGGGAAGTTTGTAGGGGCTTCTATGGTGTCAGCAGGAGGTGGTGCTGGGGAAACAGCATTTCCCCTCCTATATTGCTGCCTCTACCTAGCCCAGTTACAGTTTTGTCCTTTCTGCTTGCAGAGATGACGATTGGGCTCCAAGCGCTGGAATAATTCCCATTGTTCAAGACGGACTTTATAATTTTTATACCACTCCTTTCAGTTGTTTCCTTCACTCGGTCTGTGTGTACAATGTCTGTAAACAGCTCTGTAGTCTAAGGAGAAAATGCAGACAGAAAACTCATGTTTCAGTGTCTGAGTCTTCATTTTTTATTTCATGTGAAATTAAATACACACCTATAGATGGAAATTTTTCCTGCTTGATTTCTTTCACTTTTCCTTTTCTCACTCTCTCTTAATCTACCCTTTATTCATGAGTAAAGATGCGTGTCAGCTGGTAGCTGTAAGTACTTAGGGATACTGAGCTTTAATCAGATATTGTAAGTTAGCTCACAGATGTCAGGCTCTGCTAGTTTCTTTCCTGTGGTTTTCATTCGTACAGGGTGGTGTGCAGATGAGGGGAGATGGATTGTTTCCCACCATTAACGCATATAGACGCATACATACACATTCACTCACTCTGCAAAAACATCTGGAAAACTCACCGCTATTGACTGCAATTTCTTATCCCACACAGAATAATTGAAAATCAAAGCATGCATTGTTGAATTTTAAAAATATTTTTGAACTTTAGGAACAGATAATACGAAATAGTTTGTTATGCTTTGTTTAAATATTTGGATTACTTAAAATCACAACTGGTTATATTTGGATGGGAAAAAATCCTTAAGATGCTCCTTTAATTTTTGTTAAACTCATCCAATTTTTTTAATCAAACAGCTAAACATTCAGTAAATAAATCTGTGTGCTTTTAAAATTAGACAGCATGTAAAAGATTTTGACATTGACAGTTTTTCCACCTTTAACCTTTTAATGATCCCTCACAAAAAAGACTGAAGCTAGTAAAATATAAAGTAAAAGAAACCTGTTCTACAAACAGATCTTTTAACCCCAAACAGAAGAAGTGCCAGAGTTTGTGAGGAACTTCAGTACTGCTACTGATTTCATATTAAATTTACTCATATACTGCAGCGGTGGACAGCACTATAATACCCTAAGACAGAATCCATTATTAGAAGAAGGGTAAAAAAGGTTTTGTCTTTTATCATTACAATTCTGCCTTTTCCACAAGACATTCTTTAATTCTTCAGGAACTAGGAATATTAAATTGCCAATCCTGCAAATTTATGCATGTGCAAAATTTTGCTAAGTAATCCTGTTGAAGTTAGTGGGACTACTTGTAGCAGCCAATTTAAAAAAGAACAAACATTTGCAGGATCAGGTCCTAAAAGAAAATCTTGGTCATGTCCTTTTAATTAATTTGCCTGATGCAGAAATGTAGAATGTTATGTACACCAATGAAAGAGAATGAGAACAAAGCATAAACAGATGTGGCAAGTTGTTAAAAATATAAATGAATGGTATGGTGATTTTTGTAAGTCATAAGTACTATTTCAAATATGACTTGCTGGATAATATACAAATTCCAGAATGTTTCTAACAATATGAAATACTCTAAGGGTAATATTATTTTACTCTAAATTGGTCCATTGTGATGCTCATCTCATGGAACCCTGGTGCACTAAATGATTAATTAAAAAAATACCATAAGATCTATTTAGGTGGGTTCTGGTATAAATGAAATGTAAGAACTTATAGCTTCAGAAATACTGCCTGCAATTAGAGTTTATCCTTTCCATAATTATGGTGTTTCAGTTGCCTTAAAAAAACTACATCAATGTAGTCAGCATTTTAGCTGATTCCTCATCCCTCCAAATTTCATTTCCTCACTTGTCAATATCTAATTGCAGCAGCCCAAGAGGAGCCTTGCCAGTCTTGCCGATTGTATGAAAAACAGACTTTTTTAAAACATATAGGTTGGCTTTGCCATAACAAACAGGCCTTAGATGAAGTATTTTAATTAAGTACTTTGAGTCTTAAGATCCTGGCTTTGGTTAGTCTTTCCCACGCCGGCCAGAATTCCATCGCACTCAGTTACCACATCAGGTGTATAAACTGCAATCTGATCCACCGGCTGCTGCTTGCTCCTTCTGGGCGGCTTGCCAACATACCGGCAGTGTGCTGAAGGGGAAGCACACCGCAGCACACTTTGATCAAGATACTGAGTTTGATCTTGGTTGGTGTTTTACAATAACATACGCATATTACACACACACACACACACACACACACACGAAAACCGAGCATGTATTTATTTGCCCCGAGTCAGACCACAGGTTGCTATACTTCTCTGACTCAGACTTGAAAGGACTGTTTAAAAATTGCTCACAGAAACTTAGCTGTGCTATAATTTAGCTTTGCACACAGCAAGTGAATGTTCAGGTGGGGCATGTTGTTCTTCAGAAGACTCAAGCCAAGCTGTTAGTGGAAGGTGTGTGTTAATGGGCTTACCATTTCTTATGCTGCTTAAATGGGAAAGCTGATTAACTGCTCCAGAGACCAGTACTCAAAGGAAAATGCCAGGAATAGATTTCAAAAGTCTGGACAGAAAAAAACCACAGAAGCATTTTCCAAAATTCCAAAATATACGAAGAAGGGTGGGGAAACACTGACTGAGAGATCTATATGTGAGCAAAGTGACAATACTGTCTTTTTATGTAACTTAGTGTTAATACCATAAGTAGCAAGAAAATGATCTTCCTTACCTATCACTCTGGCCATACTGTGCCCCTCCCCAGTCCGTTGCTGGCCCCCTCCTTTAAACTGCATCAAGTTTAATCTTCATGCTTTATTTTTGAGATGCAGCTATGGTGAGCTCTAACATAGTTTACACTGGGAGCATCTACAAGAGACGCTACTGCGCAATGGTTACTATGTATTTATTTAGTATTTGTATGATCAAATACTAAATAAATGCGCAATAACCGGAGTTACTGTGCAGAAGCACTTGTGCATGCCTTTTTAGTGAGACTACTGCACAGTAACCTAATAATAACGTGCACTAGTGTATTAGCACTGTTGGTGTTGGGATGTGCTATTGCACATTATTCAGCTACTGCGCAGTTAGTTAGCACTGGCAACTTTGTTGATTGTTTCTCTCTCCCAGACCTGCCAATGAAGGCAGTGTACAATTATAACGATTGATAATAGGTAACAGCCTGCTTCTCTTCTAACTGACCCTATATGGTCTCCTAGGACATGCCTTTTGCCTTGCAACATTCTCCCAGTCCCAGGTTACAAAAGTATTTTCCCTTCTCTTCATTCCAGTTTCCCACCCAAAACACCTCTCCTGTGCTGCCCACAATACTCTGCTACCATGCTGCCAATCAGAGAGTACTTGTAAGTCAAAAAGTACATAAAACATTACTCATTTTTCTGGGCTTTCTCCTTCCTCTGTTGTGACGTCTCGGGGCTCCATTCCACTGACTCAGGAAAAGAGGGGAGACCCCTAACCCTCCTTGGGGAGCCACCCCAAGTAAGATGTGGCCCAAGGGCAAAGACAGCTCCAAATTGCCTCAGCGTAGTCACATGTGTGAATGAATACAACACAGACAAATGGTCACTCTTTGCAATAAATATGTGGTCCACTCATCAATCCATTTTTCAGTGACAGTAGACATCTTTTTAGTGAAACTAATAATTATTGGCAGTTTATGTCCCAGTACAATTTCAACTAATAGAAAAACACCTACTCTTGTAACCAGAAACAGTATACTGGGTCATAGACTCATGGAGAAGTAGGAGTGGAAGGGACCTCCTGAGGTCATCTAGTCCAACCCCCTGCCTGAAGCAGAATCATTTGAGTGAAGAATCCTAACCAATTATTTACATTTCTGACTCATAGTATATCTGGATAAAACTAGGTAAAAGCAGCCTGCATCCTAAAAGTTTGTTTGCTGAAATCAAACACATGGTTGAGAAGAAGAGAGCTGTGGTTAGTGCTTGCACATAGTCTGATAAAAAAAGAAAGCAACGATATCCTAATGGCCCATTCTTGCTCTTTTTAAATCCAAGAGGAGTTTTGCTATTAACTTCAGTGGAAGTGGGGTTGGGCTCCAAACAACTGCTTGAATTCTTTATTCTCCAATGGATATAATCAATAGCTTGCACTGCTTGCAAGGGAGATATTGATTGTTTTACAGACACTAAATCAGCATGGATTCAACAGGCCAGATTCAGCTTTTCAGTTCCACTGCTGTAAATCTGAGGGAACTTAATTTACTTTTGTGAAGTTTATTTGGTAGTAATTAGGACCTTTTAGTGAAAATAATAATTGGCACTTTATGCCCTAGTAAAACTGGCCTCCCTTTTGCGTGTAAATGCATGTACGTGTGTATGGGCATGTGCATGTATGTGTGTCTGTAGGACCACGTGAGAAAGTGATTCACAAAGTCTCTTTTCTTAACTGTTTGCATGAAAGCTTAGTAAGAAGTTTCCAGCAGGTGCACATCATTTGTAGTTACCCAACTAGTACTGGTTCCCATTTATACCTAGACTACTGTATTGTGTCTGGGAAGAGAAATCATGAACCTAAAAGGTGGTACTAACAAGAGAGAAACAATGTGTTGCTATAATTAAGAGCATTAATACTGCCACCCCAAAAATTCTCCTCTCTATATACAGTACATACTGTAGTTTAAGAATGATAACCTCCAGTTCAGAATAACATCATTTGTGTCACTGATAGTTCATGCCAGTTCAATGGTCTCTCATAAAAGCTCAGTTTCACACACTGTCATGTGTGGGACTTGCAGTTTGTGCTTCATAAAAATGTTTTACGAGAATGCTTCTTATTTTAAGCAGCTCATTTTTCCAAATTCTGTGACAGCTTCTTTGAAATAGAATGTAGTGAACTATTTTTAATGGAATGTGAGTTTTGGTCTAACAATAATATGATATATGTTTATTGATTTGTTGAAGTTTTTATGTATCCTTCCTCTCTCTCACTATACCCCATCCCCCCACTTCCCCACCCCCCGCAAAAACAAACCCAGCAGCAAGGAGAACACAGTTCCATACGCAATATTGATTACTTACTTAAGAATACACTGAAGGGCATTTCAATTCATTCAAAGTACAAATACTCTCCCTCCTGTGTATAGTACAGGCAATCAATGTTGGAGGCACTGGGGTGTTAAATATTCTCTGAGTTTAGGGTGATAGCTTTTCTGCCATAGGACTCTGGCAGAAGAGAACCAGTGATGCTAGCTCTAGACTGCCTTTTCTTGGCATAGACCAGTATAGAAGACAGCAGGGCAGGAGAGCGCCATGGCCTTATCACTTGTGCTCTGGCAATCCCAGCTATAAACCGGCTCCTGCCTTCTTCCCATGCCCCCATCAGCTCAACTGAGGAGTACAAAGCTACCTTTGTCTCTAATCCTGTCCTGCAGATTCTGATAGAGCAGAGCCCAGGTAGGCCTCTGAATAAGGGTCCAGGCTAACAAACCTGGCTCATACTTGGGATAATTTGTGCCACCAGTGGAACATGAGAGCACTTTCTTTCTTTTAGCCTACATTTGTCAGCAGGTGTGAGAGAATTATGGCTCCTACAGTGATTACAAAAGTAGAGAGCTGTATAATCAGGAGGAGATACCATTAGTATGTAGTCATATTTTGCAGAGCTTCAGG